GTGGGAGAGGGGCAGGAGAGAGAGAGAGAATCCTAAGCAGGTTCCACACTCAGCACAAAGCCTGATGCAAGGCTTGATCCTACAACCTTGGGATCATGATCTCAGCCAAAATCAAGAGTTGGGCACTCAGTGCACTGAGCTACCCGGGACCCTAAATAGTTCTCAAAATGCAGGTGTTTTTTACAGTTTAAAATTTTTTTTTTCAACGTTTATTTATTTTTGGGACAGAGAGAGACAGAGCATGAACGGGGGAGGGGCAGAGAGAGAGGGAGACACAGAATCGGAAACAGGCTCCAGGCTCCGAGCCATCAGCCCAGAGCCCGACGCGGGGCTCGAACTCCCGGACCGCGAGATCGTGACCTGGCTGAAGTCGGACGCTTAACCGACTGCGCCACCCAGGCGCCCCTACAGTTTTAAATATGTAGGGAGACAAATAGGGTCCGTGTGTTGGATTGTGTGATGCCTACTTGTATCACCAAAGTTATTTCTAAGGGAGAGGGGTGTTGAGTCTGCATCTGTCTGAAGAATTTCAATAACCAAGTCACGTGAACTTTGAAGACACTGACTATGTAATGAATTTTGTTCTGCCTGTATCAGAAATAAAGTGAGAAAGTCCCCTGGAACAAAGGGGTACATCCCTTTTTTTTCTTCCTGCAAATCCCCGGCATCTTAATCTTCAAGGTGCTCATGACCTCCAAATAGTTGCCTCTACCTACCACCTTTCCCTGGCCCGGAGACCAAAAGTGACAGGCCCATCTTTGTCAGTGAACTTCGGTAAATCTCCTTTCAAAACTTGTGTTAAGGTTTATTTATTTTGAGAGGGCGAGAGGGTGAGCAAATGGGGGAGGGGCAGAGAGAGAGGAATGAGGGAAAATCCCAAGCAGGCTCTTTGCTGCCAGCAAGCAGAGCCCGAAGTGGGGCTTGATTTCCTGAAGTGTGAGATCACAACCTGAGCTGAAACTGAGAGATGGACACTTACCTGACTGAGGCACCCCTCAAAATTTCTTGGTTGTGATAGTGTTGCCTTATAACTCTAGCTATAAAATAAGTATCCATGAGTTTATATTAATAGGAAAATGATTGAATAAGTAAGTCACTGGGAGAGAAGAGACTGTTATCCCCTGCAGAAGAATTCTAAACAACTGGTGTTGGGGCGCCTGGGTGGCGCAGTCGGTTAAGCGTCCGACTTCAGCCAGGTCACGATCTCGTGGTCCGTGAGTTCGAGCCCCGCGTCGGGCTCTGGGCTGATGGCTCGGAGCCTGGAGCCTGTTTCCGATTCTGTGTCTCCCTCTCTCTCTCTGCCCCTCCCCCGTTCATGCTCTGTCTCTCTCTGTCCCAAAAATAAATAAATGTTGAAAAAAAAAATTAAAAAAAAAAACAAAAAAAAACACAAACCAACAACTGGTGTTGATATTCTGTCCACAAAAAGGTGGGGTCTAACTCCCTACCTCTTAGTTCAGGATGCACGTAGTGACTTCCTTCCTTCCGGAAAGCACAGTGTGGGCCGCGGGGCCGGGGGGTGGGGTGGAGGAAGAGAAGCTTTATGGTGGAAAAACATGGTGGACACTACCACAGCCCGATGACCAAGCTTCATGTCCGTAGGTCAAGGCATGTTGGTGGCATGCAGCCTTGATGTAATCTGGCGAGGACTGCAGTGACACTTCACCTCTGTGGGTTTCCTCCCCAAAACCCGCAAACCCCAATCAGACTGCAAGGCAAAGAGGCCCAGTCGACCAAAATTGAAGGGAATCTAGGTGATGCCTGAGCAGTACACGAGATCATAAACAACGGGGCCAGTCTGAGAAGCTTGTAACCCAGAGGCATGTAAGGACACATGACAAATGTAATGAAATATCCTGGATGGGATACTGGAACAGAAAAAGGATATTACGTGAAAACTGAGGAAATTCAAATAACATATGACTTCAGTTACTAATACTACATCTGTTGTTCATTTGTGACAAACACAAGATGTTGATAATCGTGGACTCTGTATGACCTTTTGCACTTTTCAAATACATCCAAAACTATCCTAAAATTTAAAAAATTAAAAAATTTTATTCTGTGATAAAGTCTTTTGATTTAATCTCCGTGATATTTTAATGAAATTTGCTTATCAATTTTATTCGTGTTTGATCAAGAATTCCAGTTGACTGGAGTTTATTTTTTCTTATTTAAAAAAAAAAATTTTTAAGTTTTATTTTTAAGAGAGAGACAGAGCATGAGCAGGGGATGGGCAGAGAGAGGGGGAGACACAGAATCCAAAGCAGGCTCCAGGCTCTGAGATGTCAGTACAGAGCCCGACGCGGGGCTCAAACTCACGACCCATGAGATCATGACCGGAGTCAAAGTCGGACAGTTAACCGACTGAGCCACCCAGCCATCCTGAGTTTAGATTTTTTAATGTGACTGTCATAAAGGTGAATTTTCTACAACAGACACAGAAATCATTTCGTCGTCGTTTTGTTTGGGGGAAATAATTATGCCCTTTTGGATTCTGAATCTCCTATGGTTCTTTAAGAAATTGTAAAGGTTGTGAGATGCTATGGGTATACCCATCTTAGAAATAACAGGATAAAACCACTAAATTAACTAAACGAATTGGCATAAAATGGAAAAAAAAGAAACAGCAGCATTTTTGAGAGCATGAGTCCAGACGTGTCTGTAAGACAGGCTTTACAAACTTCGTTTGATGAGTTTTTGTTTTTCTGAGGAGATGATTCTTTTCTGTAATTATCGTTCTGTTTTTCCTGACAGGCTATCTAGTACCCGCTGCCGTAAGCTCCCTGTGAATTGAGTTATTCTCAATCATACTCTGTATTATGAAGGCATTATTTGAGTGGCTGTCCACTGTGATCTGGTTATTTGGAGCTTTACATAAAACAGGTGGTTCTTCCATTGCATCAACGTTTCTTATTACCTAGAATTTGCCATCTTGTTGTCTGTGGCCCGTCAGACCTACCCCCTCGCAGATGTGGCTCTATCCTACAGCTTGTCCTTGTTTATTTCACTTCCCGTATACGTCTTGGTCATTTTTCTCTGATGGTCCAAGTTCCCTGTTTTCAGACTTTATCAGGGCTCATGCTATACGGTCATGGGTTTATTTACGCTGATTAATTCCCAGAGGTCTTTGCAGCGGCTAATTTTGTTTGGCTCCAAAATGACCCAGGCAATTCTGATTGCAACTCTGCTCAGCAGGCACAGGGCTGAAACTCATAACCACAGAGCAAGGAGCAGAGATCCGCGATCCTATGAACCCAGTGCTCTCAAAGGTGTCATTCTCCGGGACGCAGAGACCTGGGGTGTGAGCTGTTGGCTCAGACATCGTTGCCGATTTGTTTTCCTTTAGATGACGCTTTGAGCTTGATCTGTCAGTAGGATGACTAGTCTCGAGTACAAGCTTTAGAGTCCCATAGAGCAAGGTGCAAATCTTACCTCAGTTGTCAGCTATTTCATTTTGAGGAAGTTACTTAATCTCTGTGGGGCTCAGGTTTGTCATCTGTAAAATGAGAATAATAGTAGACTGGTAGAGTTGTAAAAGTCAGGTTACAGTTTTTCTAGAGCTCCTCTGGAGTGCCTGGTTCCATGTGACGAATGCTTAATAGAGGCTCGCTGTCATCAGAATGCTTATTAATTGGGCTGAACTGCCTCACCTTCTCTTTGGCCCTTTCTGGCAGGCTCTGGACTGCTGCCCGCCATGTCTCCGCTCGACGCGCTGGTTTATCCATTCACACGTGTCTGTAGTCCCTGTGTGGTAGGAGTAGGCTTCGCACCTTCTGTGCCCTGCTTTAATTGGTGTTTTTAAGTTTGTTTATTTTGTGTGAGAGAGAGAGTGAGCGTGTGCACAGGGGAGGGGCAGACACAGGGAGAGAGAGAATCTCAAGTCAGCCCCGCACTGCCGGCCCAGAATGCGACGCACGGCCCAATCCCGTGAACTGTGAGATCACGACCTGAGCTAAAACCAAGACTTGGACGCTTGACCGACTGAGCGACCCAGGCGCCCCTTTAATCACTTTAAAAACTCTATAGAATGTCATTGGGATAGTTTTCACCAGCATAAACATGTCATTAGAAGTGTTACATTTTCTTCCTTGCATTTTGACATATGATGATTTCCTAATAACACGAAGTGCTGTGCAGACCCAAGAGTGGGCTCTGCCCTGGTTTTGTATTGGGTATGTTTGGAGTCAAGTAGGAGAGAGAAGGAAGACCTACAGGCAGAGGAATGGACTCTGGGGCCCGACTGCCTGAATGTGTAGCCTACTTTCCCGTCTATTAGCTGTGTGGCCCTGGCCGAGTTACTTAACTTCTCACTTACTGCTGTTTCCTCATCTGTAACATGGAGAGAAGATTAGTGCCTGATTCCTAAGTTTCCTAGTGAGGGTTAAGTGTAGAGTGCTCACGGCACCGCCTGCCATGTATTGAGTAATAATTAAGTGTTCAGTATTATTAGAATTCTTCTTTTCCAAAAGTTCCACAACATTTACTGCGTGAGGTAATCTTACCGATAGATGAGGCCCGTTTCAACCTCAGTAACTTCAAACTAATAAGATTATCTTTTTTTTTTTAACGTTGAAAATTTTTTTTAATGTTTAGTTTTGAGAGCGAAAGAGAGACAGAGCGGGAGCAGGGGAGGGGCAGAGAGAGAGAGGGAGACAGAGAATCCAGAGCGGGCTCCAGGTTCTGAGCTGTCGGCACAAAGCCTGACGTGGGGCTCAAACTCACGGACCGCGAGATCATGACCTGAGCCAAAATCCGGTGCTCAGCTGACTATGAGCCACCCAGATGCCCCAAAATTATCTTTTTAATATACCCATATAACTAAATTTGTCCCCTGAAAGGAGTCCTGAGAATTGCTACACTTGTATCAATTTATAAACGTTGAAAAACTATTTCGTTATTGTCTTCATATTCTGTGAAAATTATGCTTTTGAATATTCTCAATAATAGCAAATCTTTGTTTTTTAGAGCCTCAAAAATGAGAGCCAACTCTGTTAAACTTAAGGCCATCTTTCTATATATTTATATAATTTCATATACTTGCATAATTATGTAAATTTGGTAACTTGATAATCTTCATAAAATATATACACACAATATCCACCTACATATAAAACGTGGGGGTACTGGAGAGGGAGAGTATTGGGAACCAGTGTTTAATGTAAACGGAATCATTTTCACGGAAAAGTGAAACATCGAGCTTCGGTTCGCTTAAAGAAAACCCCACAGAACGTCTCTCACATTTCAAGAGTATTTTTTAAAAGCATAATTGAAGTTTTTCCCTTAGGGGATAGAGTCTACATAAACCTCGCATTCAGGCAAACGGAGGAACAAACCAGCATCTCGTCTTTCTGGTCCCGGTGCTCTTTTCTCCCCGTCGGTGTTTTTACTTTTGTGCAGACCCCGTGAGGCTGTGTCGCTGACCTGCAGAAAAGGCCATCACGCGCAGGGAAGCGCGCTCTGGCGAGGCGCTCGGTCTAACTGAACGTCTGGGGCGGATTCCTGCTTCCTCTGTCGCTTGAGAGCTTCATGACTGTCGCGGCCAGCGAGACACCTGTGTGCATTTGGCATCCTCAGCGTGGCCATTTTCTGACTTTAAAGCGTCCTCTAGAAGGGCTGCTTCACTGCTGGGATGGAGATGTGGTCACCTGTGACCTAGGTCATTTCGTCGTAGAGTCGCTGTTGGTGACGGTAAGCTGACGTGTTTACAACTTGTGTTCAGATCCGATGCTGTTAGGCACTTAATTTCCTAACAGTTTGCCACCTAGGGATATTTTGCAAGCAGATAATATCAAAGGGCGTCGGTCCCCGCCCCCAGCGCTGCCTGGGTCTGGACGACAGGTGCGTGGCACAGCCCGGACTTCTCATTCCGGCTCCCCGGTGTGCTGCGTGACCCTCGCCTCGTAAGGCCGGGGTCCAGAGAACTCTGCTGACTCCCTGACGGTGACCTGGGGCCGGGGGCAGTGAAGAGGCAGGCACAGAGAAAGGCTGGGTCCACCGTGGGCTCCACTTTTGAGAAAATCAAGCCCACCTCTCTCATTTTTTAGTTTTAGTTCTTTGATCTAAGAGAAAAATTGCATAGTCTAATCACCTACGTAGCAAAAAGGTCAGCTATTCTGACGTTAACGTTAGGAGGGTTGGATGCGTCTTAGAACCTTGCGGTGGAGTTCCTTCTACCCTGCGTGAGCTCTCCAGGTGATGAGCGGGTCTTCTCTTGTCACCGTTTGCCATCCATCTCTCTCCTAACTAAGGATGTGGACTGTGTTCCCATTGTGACAGCTGCTGATTGACATCGAGCAACAGTGTTGTCGTGGCTTCTAGTTAAAAAAATGAGAAAGAAAGTGGATCTTTTCAACCTAAAGGTTCTCTCTGTAGAGTTAATTAAAGACATTTTACGAAGACATTTGGATTATGGAAAAGTGATGATATCACATTATGACATTTATTTCGTTCCCTACCCTAAGAATCTCCGTAATTGGCTCACCTATTGAAAACCATTATTTTTATCAGAGGCTAAAAAAATGAGGGCCCCCATTCTGGCTTCCCTCACGTAACTAATTGGCATATCTTCTAAAAACAACTGTGAACAGAGGACCTTTTAGATGCGTCCGTGCGCCGTTCACATGTTTTGAAACCATTAAACGTGAAAGTCTATGGGCAACGTTATCCAAGGGTCAGCATTTTATTTATGCCAATGTATTCACATATTTTAGACATTTAATTAAAATTCCACACGACCATTAGCTGTTGTGATGCTGGGCAGCTCAGGGTGCATATTGTCGGGGTTCGTCCTTTGCATCGGAAGAAACCGGGATTGGAAAACCGCTGACTGCTCACCTGTGGTCATACAGCAAAGAGATCCCTGACTACAACATGGACACCACAGTCCAGAGCTTTTGACAGCCGGTGCGGTGTTCTTCCTGCCAGGCCGAGCTGTTCCATACCACGGAGGCAGTTCCCTCAATGCGGCGCTGTTGTGATAGAGGAAAGACAGGTGTACCCACCGCCTTCTCGGAATTGATGCCTTCCCTGGGGGTTCTGTCTTCCCCTGGAAGAGGTCTCTATATTTATACATACATTCCTGTGTCCTTCAGGGCTGGTTTGCTACTCCACCTTAGCTTTGTACGTTTGTTTGTTTGTTTTAATACTATAGATTCTTATATGTACTCACCCCAAACAACATAAAAGGTCAAATAATTCACAAAGTCTGCATCCGGCGATGGCAACATTGTGATTTACGTGGAACCCATATGCACGAAGGCACAGGGGAGCCCAGAGAGTCACCAGTTTGATGTGTCCGCCAGGAAAGCGAAGGCAGGTTATGCTCTGCTGGATCTGTTCTTCAAGAATAAGGGAGGTGACGGTATCGTTTACGTTGTGTGTCCACATCCTGGGATTCGGTGTTCTGCTCCACGTGTGCATCATTCCCAGAGCTGCCAAGAAACTGAATTCATAGGCTGGGAAGGGGATTTTGAATCGAGTAGTAGTCACAGAGCAGTGGTTAAAGAAACCGTATATATTCTTTGTAGAAAAGGAGAGTCTGAGCGGGCGATGATAGATTGCCTCTAATATTTGCAGGACCATCACGTGGAAAACTTTTGAGACTCGAGCCCTCCAACTTCTCATTCGAGGGCCAGGAAACAGGAGCTACAGCCAGGGTTCCCCTAACATGGAATCAGACCTTTTGGCTCAGGGCTTTTAAATAATCAGGCTGTTGCAGTCAGGAGATGGGATGGTCTGCCTCCCTCCCAGGGCACTGCATTTTTCAGTCCCTGGAGGTGCCCGTGGGAGCCAGGATGGTTACGTGGAGGAGATATTTTTAAAGGGCAACATTCACAATTCAGAGCTGCAGTTGGACCCGATGACCTTTAAGGTGCTTTCCAGCACCTGGGGTTTTATGATTCTGTTTCTATTATGCCCCGATGCTGGGTATGTGTCACATTGTCTGAACCAAACACTGAGAATGGACAGGAGCGCGGTTTGGAATGTTGCTGGTGCTTTACATCTATTTTGTGTTTCAATTTCTGGAAGCGGTCTTTGTCTTTGAGGCAGTTTGGTCCCTGACCTTCTGTAACATTTGGAGCCCGGCCACACTGTCTTTGTTTACTGTAAAGAGCATGGAAAGACCGACTTCCTGACAGTGCTCTGCAGAGTCTAAGGTCAAACCACTCACAGGTGAACAAACAGTCCCTTCCACCTTAAAATTGCCACTTGGCCCCTGTAAAATGGGGCAGGGTAATGACACCGGGTAACAGAAGGAGGGGAAATCCGTGGTCTGCCAGCAGCCAGCAATTAGTCACTTTGTCATTCTGCTTTGTGAAGAGCTCATCTTAATTCAGTATCCATTTGGGGGAAGTTCGAAAACATGGCATGCAATTTTCCGCCCTCTAGCACACTACTAAGTAAGCCTGCAAGATCCTTCCTTTCTCTACATTATCATGACTGCATCATTTATATGTCCCAGGATTGCAAAGCTAAAGCCTAATGTTCTTATTCACTTATGGGACTTATGAGTAACACTAATTGAATATTCATATCGTCCAAGCTATTTCTTTTCCTTTCTTTCTTTTTTGTTATGCTGAGACCTCAAAGTGGCCTGGTGGGGTTGATTACCGCTCAAGAAGGCAACTCTATAATCATGATAATAATAATTATTATTTATGTTATTTATTTTTTTACTAACCTCTGCTATTGTTTACTGTCATCCAAAGCAATAGGTCCCCTTTGTCAAGGGATGGGAAGTGTCTTCCAGGGTAAAGTTACTGGTAAGCTCTTTCCGCACCTAGACTTCATTCATTTTACACCACTCCTGTTCTTTACACGCCATCTTACATTAGTATTAGTAGGTGCACATAACACATGTGTGACTGTCACTGAATAACACAGTGACCTTCTCACATATTCCCCGTTTACTCAAAATCACTTATTTGCAAGATCCAAGGTGTTTTTTTTTTAACATTTAAAGATTAATTATTAGAAGTGATCTGAAGCAATACAAATAAAAACATGTCCCGCATAAATTCGCCATTTTTTAAAAATATTTTTCCTTCAAGAATGCAGCAATAAATTTGACGTTGGATGTAATTTATTTTTCTTTTCTTTTCTTCTCTTTTTTTTCCTTTCTTTTTTTTTTTTTTTTTTTTTTTGTCTCTAGTGTAAGCAGGCTCTTGAAATGCCCTAGTTCTATCTAACATTGCTCTTGAACTCCACTTAGAGATGATATACTAGCCTTTTACTAAAATATATCTAGGTATTAAAAGCCCAATTCTTTACTGCTGATGAGAAAGATTATTAACACTTTTTTTTCCCCAGCTATAATATGAGGCAATAACACCCTTTTTTACTTGCAGAGCCAGAGGCAGTATGTCATATTAACCTCCATTAACTGCCTACGAAATGAGGTACGTTCGTTAATTTAGTATTCTGGTTAGCTAAGATTGTGTGAGAAGGCTGATCAACTTCCCTTTGTTTTTTCCCTTCGCTACATAAAAAAAAAAATAAATAAGAGAATGGTAAAATATGTTCACACACGTATTTTCTTGCCTTGGTGCGTGTGGCATCTGTATCACAGGCTAGCCGTGGATGACATCGGTGTGTGGCTGGTGGGCAAAGATGGGGGTGGCCGGAGAGGCCGGAGGGAGCACCGCCTCATCTAAGGGGGCCCAAAAAGTAGATCTGAGGCGTGTGGTGGGGGAACATGCCCTCGAAAATCTGGGCCAATGGGGGTAGGAGAAAATAAAGTCCACTTCTCTGTATGGAATCTCATGATGGACCTTGCCCCTTGCATGTCCTATGAAACACGGAGTTCTCTGTAGTTTTTCCCCATACGGAGCACCGCTTCTGATTTTCCCATTTCTACCTCTGTGACTTTCATTTGCTCATTCATCATTTTGTAAAAATGCATCCAGCGTTGTGCTCGCTACTGGGGAAACAGATTAATGACACGGCTCCTGCACACAGGGACCTGCTTCTTTCTCTGTCCAGGCTTAAAAACACGTGCAGTCAGCGTGGCCACCATCGTTCTCTGCGAGCACTTCGGCAACGTCATTTCTTTCTCCGTAAAGCCTCCAGAATCCATCTCGATTTTTCTTTGGCCGCTGTCAGAGTTGGGGCACTGTCCCCAGATAGTGATTCTATTGCGGGAAACTCTTTATTATTCTCTTTCTACCCAAGCTCCCCCGTCCCCTTTCCGTCTCACCTGTGGCTATACCCGGCCCCGTGTCCTACGACTGGGTTGTTCTCTTGGCTTGTTCTCAGGACAGTCCCACTGCTACGAAAACTAACAGCCTCCTTGCACCGAATCGATCCTTTCGGGCACCCTGCGCCTTGGCTGTGTCTTCTCACCGGGCTGGTTTCCCTCCCACCGTTCATCCAGTGCCGAGTCCGGCAAGGGGGCGAAGACGGTGTGCTCAGGGCCCAGACCAGCCACTCCCTCCCTGTGCGGTCCTGGACGACTTCCTTCCTTTCTCTTTGGTGTTTCTGTTCTAGATCACTGAAAAGAGCAACACATCCCTCCTAGGACCGTTAAGATGAAGTGGGTTCACGTATGTAAAACGTGTGGAGGAGACGCGCTTGCGTGTTCAGTCTTGCAGTGTCTGTCTGGACCCACGCCTCAACCACACCCCTCCAGACATCTCACGGCTCACGGCACATCTCGGGGTTCTCTGCGGTCCCTTCCCAGCATCTGGGTAGAAGTCATCTTTCCCTTCTCTGGCCCTACTTACCTCATGCTCATTTAGTGGGCAGATTTACACTATTTTTATTATTTTTTTAAAGAAACTAAAATTTGAACAGGTAGCTAGCAGTTCAAGATAGTGCATGGTTAGGACCCATGGAATATATACCACAGATTCCATAGATGATACGTTCTCTGAGGGCAAGGGGAGTGCCTCATGGGGCTTTGGCTTCCTTTCCAGTGCCTTTTGCCTCGTTATTAACAGCGGTAGACCCAAATTAGTACATTTTCCCTGATTCAATGGGTGACGTGTTTGGATGCTCAGGAACAGAGTAGTCTATACAAAACAGATAATGTATAGTCGGGTAACAAGGTGTCTTCACTCGTAGCAGAGGAAGGTGGTGATACAAAGGGGCCATGCACAGACCATGTGCGGAAGGGTTCTGGATGTCACCGATATGGTGGCTGAGTAGGATCCGTTGGGTGACAGGCCGCCAAACGTTCTGGAATGCAAAAAGAGACCAGACAGAAGCTTGTTGAATGTGAGGGCATGAGTGCCTGAGCTTACACTCTGGAAATGGGGAATGGAGAGGAAATCTTAAATTCAGGGGGAGTCTGTAAGGAAAGAATCCACAGGACTTGGGAGTTCTTAGAGAATGATGATGAGGGACGAGTGCAAAAGTGCCCCTGTCTGTCTTCCTGGTAACTTTGGAATATTTGTAGTTACTAGACGTTGAGCCCGTGATGGCAGGGACCATGCCCCTATGGCTCACCCCTGGCCTCTCGGTGTTTGGAACGGTCCCTGACACCCTCACACAATTGGAGCCTGGGAAGGGCAGCTTGAACGGTCTCTTTCCTTGATATCTGCACTATCGACTAAGTCCTGTTGTAGACACTCTTGCCACTCATTGGAGGATTCTGTGGTGCTAGTTAGCCGGCGTGATCAGTTTTTCTAAACAGACCTACTTCTCCACATCATCGGCACGATGTCCCAAATAGGCAACTTTTTTCATAAGTGAGGGAATCTGCAAGACCCTGAGGCCATCTCCTTCCTCCATGCCATATTGTAACTATTAAAACATACCTGGCAGTGCAGCCCTTCTCTAGAAAGCAATTGTTTGCTCTCGCCCTGCTGAGAAGTAGCAATATCCGTGTGGCTTAAGGGCTCTAGCTGTAGCCATGAACAGCGTTAGAAAAATATCACCACCATTTGCCAGCATGAGATGCCAAACTGCAAGTAAGAGGCATGTCAATTCAATGAAGCAGAAACATTTCCCTTGTTTTTAATGATTACTTGTGGGAGAGCTTGATGGTTACGTGTCTGTGTGCCTTTAAAGAAGAAATTGCATTTTTTTGGGGGGGGGAATGATGGAAACCGTCTCGCCTCTTCTCCCTACAAAGGGACAGGCTTTTCCCACATGGGTGAATATTGCCCGCGCCACTCGCCGAAGAAAAGCAGCGGTCTTGGCAAGCATCTTATTAGTCTAAAAATAAATTATTCAGAATGCAGGTTCAGATACAGATTGCAGGGAGAGATAATAGAATTGGTTTCCCAAGCCTGATCATGCTATGAAGATATGGTGTGTGCTTTTCAGGAATCCACTTAAGTGGAATCAGCTTTGACTAATACAAACTCGAAATAATATTGCTGCCATCCAGCTAGTGTCTGTGGTACAGCATCCTGCAAATGTCTTCAAGCATCCCTGGCCTCTGTGGTCTGTGCAAGCGTGCGTGTATGAAGTACACATGCATTCACGAGCGTTTCTTCCGAGATGCCTTCTTCTCATTGTTCTTGTGAGGAGACTTCCCCGCGGCAGCGCGAGAGGGGCATGTCTCACTCGAGATTTGTCTCCCTCCTACT